TCTCTCACTCTTACAATAAACATCGTTATATTTGGTCATTAAATTCACATTATATAACCAGGACTTCAGATAGACCTCCCCCATTCCCAGACAGGTATAGCACACGATACACTATATCCGGTTACCTACATCAGGATGTCCGGATAAGAAATATTTAACCGGAATTAGTGGTTGTTTGAAGAGGGTTTTTTTGCAAAGTCATCTGAGTCAGGCCAAGTTATCTGCGTCAGGCCAAGTCATCTGCGTCAGGCCAAGTCATCTGCGTCAGGCCAAGTTATCTGCGTCAGGCCAAGTCATCTGCGTCAGGCCAAGTCATCTGCGTCAGGCCAAGTCATCTGCGTCAGGCCAAGTTATCTGCGTCAGGCCATTAAGGCGTATGATTATATTCTATTTATGTTCATGTATTATGTGTATATATGTGTATGTATATGTGCATGTATGTATTATGTGTATATATGTGTATGTATATGTGCATGTATGTATTATGTGTATATATGTGTATGTATATGTATGTTTGGGGCAATTGGTGACGTATATTAAAGTAATTATTTCTACATGAGAGTTCAGTAAGACCCGTCAGCTGTGTATGGGAGGAGGAGGAGAGAGGCAGAGGTAAAAGGAGTAAGAAGGGGAGAGGAAGAAGGAGGAGAGGAAGGAGGAGGAGGAGAAGGGAAGGAAGAGGAGAGAGAGGGTGAACAGTTTATGAAAAAAAAAGGAATAAGGAAAAGAAAGAGAAGAAAACTAAATAACATAGAACGAGGAAGAGGAGGAAAGGAGAGAGATGAAAGAGACAGAGAAGAAGAACGAGGAGGAGGAGGAGGAGGAGAAACATGAAAGTGTGGAGGGAGAGAAAGAGAGGGAGGAGAAAGAGGGGAATAGATAACAAAGATAACAGAGGTAGGAATAACAGAAGATTTACACGGACGAAAGGGAAGAACAAAGTAGAACAGAAGAAAAACAACGAGAAAGGCAAAGAACTGGAAGTACACACACACACACACACACACACACACACACACACACACACACACACACACACATACGAACACATACATACATACATACATACATACATACGTACATATGTGTATGTAAACATGTACACGTATGTCAACTGAAACTAATGTACACACTAAATTTCACTGTGTAATTGTGTACAAGTTTAACAAATAGCGCGTCATGATTTTTTGGGTGGGGTTAGGTTAGGTTTGGTTAGGTTTGGTTAGGTTAGGTATATACATCTGTACTGACCACTGATGGTTTAAGAAGGAAATACCTCTTAATTCATGGTATATCCTATGTCATTATACAGTACACATATGACGTCAGTATCCATAGGTGTGGTGATATACATAGTGGCGTTGTGCTGTACCTCTGTTAACCTTTGTATATGTGTCAGTATACAGTACACATATGACGTCAGTATCCATAGGTGTGGTGATATACATAGTGGCGTTGTGCTGCACCTCTGTTAACCTTTGTACATGTGTCAGTATACAGTACACATATGACGTCAGTATCCATAGGTGTGGTGATATACATAGTGGCGTTGTGCTGTACCTCTGTTAACCTTTGTACATGTGTCAGTATACAGTACACATATGACGTCAGTATCCATAGGTGTGGTGATATACATAGTGGCGTTGTGCTGTACCTCTGTTAACCTTTGTACATGTGTCAGTATACAGTACACATATGACGTCAGTATCCATAGGTGTGGTGATATACATAGTGGCGTTGTGCTGTACCTCTGTTAACCTTTGTACATGTGTCAGTATACAGTACACATATGACGTCAGTATCCATAGGTGTGGTGATATACATAGTGGCGTTGTGCTGTACCTCTGTTAACCTTTGTACACAGTTTGTCATGATGGGGGAAAAAATGCCAATATTTGTGCAGGAATATTTCCACCAAAAATGCGAAGTGTGTGTCGTTTACACTTATACAATGCCTCACACCTTATAACACCCATTATATATCACACAGCACAAATCTTACCATTACACACACACACACACACACACACACACACACACACACACACACACACACACACACACACACACACACACACACACACACACACACAGTCACCATAAACAAACTTCTATAATAACCTCAAATACTGGTAAACATTCCTAATAATTCAGGTACATCCCGGTAACTACACGAATATCATAAATAGATTACCTGGAAGTACCTGGAACTACCTGGAACTACCTGAAACTAATACCTGGATACATTTTTGCCAATAGGATTTATCACAAAGTCCAAAATGTTCCTTAAAGGTAGAAAATAATTGTGATATGGAATCTTTCAAGTCGTATCATTTTGGTGAGATAATTTTGGACTGAATGTGAGGTCAAAATCAATGGTCGAGGTCAAAGTCATTGGAAGAATTTAAACATAGAAGGTCAGGAATTACTTACATTACAGAAATCAACCAAAAAAAGACATAAAATCTTCAAATATCCCGATTCTTTAGAGGTTTCTTGTAGGCGACGTTTCAGTGACCCTTGCGTGACCCTAGCTTGACCCTAGCTTGACCCTAGCTTGACCCTCTACTGTAAACATGTACAAAAAAAACTACTTCAAGATATTCATGAGGAAAGAGGAGAAAGTTTTTTTTAAGGCAATGAGATCAAGGCAGAGCGAGACAGACAGGAGGGAAATATCAACTGTTTTCCGGGAAGCGACACAAGAGAAGGGATGTGCCAAGCGACAGTCAACGATGAGGTGATGAAACCAGGGAGTGCTATTTTTAGGCGGGGAAATAATGTTTATGATCCAGGATTTTGAGGAGTGAGGAGAGAGGAGGAGGAGGAGGGGGAGGGGGAGGACGAGGACGAGGAGGAGGGGGAGGACGAGGAGGAGGGTAGATTAGGTAGGAAGAGGAGGAAGAGGAATAGGAGATAGGAGGACGGTCAGGAGGAGGAAAGCAGATTAGATAGAAAAAAGGAAGAACAAGAAGAGTAGGAGAAGAGGATACAGTAAGAAGGAGGTGGATGGTAGAAAGAGGATGAAGAGGGTAGAGTAGGAAGGAAGAATAGGTAGGAGTAGAAGGAAGAGGAAGATAAGGTGAGGAGAAATAAAACACAAATGATTCTTTAATAAATTTCTACAAGTCTATTTACTATTCTTCCTGGAGTATCAAGCGTGACGTCACATGTAAACAAACAAATCCAAGTCCCAAAACAGTTAACTTTACTACAACATCAACAGATCATTCCGTATAATAACGTAAATATAATCTACCAATAGGAGAATATTTACTAACACCCTTCTCAGCCAATCAGATGCCAGAACTCTCAAGGTAAACAGCCAATCATAATAACAAGGTATTCATGGTAGTTAGTCGTGATTAGATGTTGCTGACTCGAGTCCTTTTTAACTCCGGGTCATGTTGTCGGTGTTGTGTGTGTGTGTGTGTGTGTGTGTGTGTGTCACGGGGGGGGGGGGTGTCCAGTGACTTGTTCAGGGTCGTGGCTCTCAAAGGATTCATAGTAATTTCCTTTCGAGGAATTTTAAAACACGTAGCTTAAGTTCTCAGCCAAAACGCAGAAATTATTCCCTCATTTTTTTCACTGTAAGAGTTTTGTAAAATATAGATTAGTTTCCCGTGGTATATATCTCATTATAAAAAAATATATATATATATATATATATATATATATATATATATTAGCGTTCGTTATATTACATGCAAGTTTAATATAGTTTTGAATACAAGTAATTCCATTTTTTTCAGTGAATGATATAAAATTCTCATTTAGCGGACTTTTCACATATAGCGGACTTTTCTCATATAGCGGACGTAAATAAGACACTAAACCTGATACCAGTCACCTTAAAGTTATTGCAATAGGTATTCACACTAATTAGTACAGGTGCGAACAGAGAATTTCCACCTTACTCCAATACGTAGCTGCTAATTACCTTTCGCTAATTAATTACTTTTTGTTTTATTTCAGATTTTTTTTTATTATTTTTTTTCCTGTTTGTAATTCTCTCTCAGTTGTAATTATCTCTCAGTTGTAATTATCTCTCAGTTGTAATTTTCTCTCAGTTTTAATTATCTCTCAGTTGTAATTATCTCTCAGTTGTAATTTTCTCTCAGTTTTAATTCTCTCTCAGTTGATAATTCTCTCTCAGTTGTAATTATCTCTCAGTTTTAATTCTCTCTCAGTTGTAATTCTCTCTCAGTTGTTCTCTAAGTCTCTTCCCAGTTCTCATGCTTCAGTTTTGAGTAATACATCTTGAGGTATTTTTAGATGGCGGTCCTAATGTCTCTGGGATCTTGCTCTCCTTTATCTCCCCTCTCTCTCTCTCTCTCTCTCTCTCTCTCTCTCTCTCTCTCTCTCTCTCTCTCTCTTTCTATCTTCCTCGTGTGTGTGGAGGGGGTGGAGGAGTGTCACTGATGGCTGCTTAGTGTTTCCTCCTTCGCCTCCTTCTTCTTCTCTCATTTTCTCCCTCTTTTTCGCAATTTTTCCTTACTCTTCCTCCTCTAATCTTTCTCCTCACATCATCTTGTCCTTCTTACTCTTCTTCCTCCTCCTTCTCACTCTCACCTTCTTACTCTTCTTCCTCCTCCTTCTCACTCTCACCTTCGTACTTTTCTTCCTCACTCCTCATCATCCCCTCACTCTTCACCTCCCCCTCCTTCTTTTTCTCCTCTCATTCCTCCTCCTTACCCCCTCATGAACATACCTCCACCATTTTAATTTTTCTCAGTCTTCCTCAAAAATTGGCTTTAAGATGCAACAAGTTTCCTCCCAGTTTCCCTCAAGTTTTCCCTCGTCTTGAGTCATACTGTAAACAAATGTATTTCACGTAGGCAGTTAAAATAAATTAATTATATAAGGTAACGATGATTAGTGAAACTTTATTATTATTATTTTGGTATTTGTATGTTTGTCAGAAAGTGATATTTGAGTAAGATTTTATATTGAAATAGGAGCATTGATGTGTACTAACTAGTGTTTTTTTTGTGTTGCAGGTAGATGGAGCCAGGTAGGAACCACAGGTCAGCGAGGGATTGATTGGTATAGATGAGAAGCTTCTACCTAGCTACTACACAGCATTTATCACCTGTGGAAAAAAAAACAATAAAAAAAACTAAAAATCATACTGAGAAAATATTAATATCTTTTATATGTATCGGGTGTAAATAATGTTGTTGCAGATACACCTATTGACATTACTTCTAAACGTAATTATCTACTACAGGTGAGACGCCCTTAAGGAACCTATACCATGGAGACCAACACGAGGATCATACTTATCACTGAGGACTTGTTACCAAATATCAAGTTGGTTACGTAGAACAGTAACATAATAGTGAATAGTGAGAAAAAGTTCGACGGTAACAAATAAATTAACTAGAAACTTTGTGTTAAGTTTTATTTGGGTTTATTTTTTAAAGATCTGGAACTTGTGATATAAGAAAGATGTCTGTTTGTATGTCCTGATCAAGTTAGTGTGGAGACTAGTGAGTGTGTGGAGTGTAGAGTAGTCAAGGGGGTAACTGGTATTGTGTGGAGTTATATTGGGATTTTATGAGTAAACTTAAAATAAGAAATAGTCAAGGAAAATGGTGAAGTGTCGAGCATAAGTCTTTAAAAGTCTTAAATAAAAGAGTCAAGAGTTATCATACACGAGAGATACCCTAACAAAAGAGAAATCTCAAGAGTGACATAAACACAAAACCAAATAGAAAATTATTGATTACTGCAGCAGACATCTTACGTTCCTGTAGTTCCAATATGGCGGATCTGAGCAGTCACCAGAATTCCAATATGGCGGCGGGGAGCATTAGCAACACCACAGAAAAAGATCAGGAACTATCTGCTGGTGTAGTGGACGTGGGGCCTCTTACAGGGGGCCAAACGTTCCTTCTAGACCCCAGCATCACCACCAGGGCCTATCTGTGGCTCTCTACTACCATCAAGAACGAAAGCTGGTGGGGTCCTTCTGACGACTACTCTCTCTCTCTCAACCTGACGGAGGAATACTTCACCTCCGTCAACGTAACAAACGACGGCATCTACGAGAACGACACTAACGTCACCACCGGCTACGTCCCCTACCCTCAACGACCCGAGACCTACATCGTCCCAATGCTCTTTGCCATCATCTTCATCGTTGGGGTTATTGGTGAGTACTAGTTCCTCGTATAGGTAATGAGGGACAATATTAATCCTTTCACTTCCCTCCCTTATTTCTCGCTTCCTTCCTGCCTCATCCCTGACCACTCCTTCCCTACTTCCATCCTTCACTCCTCCTACTCTCCCTCTATCCATTTCTCTTCCGCCTTATCTTCATCCATTTTCTACCCTCCCTCTATCCTTCTCTCCCCTCCCTGCAGCATAACCAAGGCGAGATACTAACCTTCATTTTTTAGACAACATTAAGTGCAGGCAATGATACTGGAGATGGCTGCATTACCAACTTGAAATAATAATACATGCTAATGCTTTCGTGAGGCTCAGTGTTACCAACTAGGAGGGTGTAGCTTAGAATGCATTGTTACACTGATGCCAAAAAAAAAAAAAACGCTGAGGACAATGTACCTCAGCACAAATAGGTCTCAGCACAAATAGGCCTCAGCACAAATAGGCCTCAGCATGAATAGACCTCAGCACACATAGGCCCTGGTGTTAATAGGACCTAGTACTATTAGACCACAGTATCTAACCAATTAATGGGATTTGGGGCCCATTGAGATTAAGAGCCTTCAGGATTGGGGCCCATTTAACAATATGAGTAGAGTAAGGTTATCAGTGCTGGGGTCTACTTAGCCAGAGAGCAATTAAGCCCTTTGGAAAGTATCAGTTGTACCAGAACAGAGAAACACTAATTGCAGTGTTACCAGATGGGTGGATGAGCTGCAATTAACTGTTCTGAGACACACACACACACACACACACACTGTATATTTCACCTGAAGATTAAACTCCCTAATGCTACCTGGGTTGGTTTGGTTAGGTTAGGTTAGGTTAGGTTATACTCATTGCAAATTCCAGTGTTACCAGAAAAAAAAATAGGGAGGTTTATTACTGTCGACTTTCCAGGGAGTTGTTATCATCCTCGTTCCCTCCTCCTCCTCCTCCCCCTTTCCTTCTTCCCCCTCCCTCTCTCTCTCCTCTTCTCTCTTCTGTCTTTCCCTCTCCTGGCCCCGTTTCCCTCCCTCTTCTCCCTCTTCTCCCCTCGCTTCCCTCCCGCTCTTCCCATCCTCTCCCCCTTCCCCCTTCTTACTGCTCTCCCCTCCCCTTTCTCATCCCTCTTCCAATCTTCTCCCTTCGTCCTACTCATTCCATTCCTCCGTCTCTACCTACCCCCACCCCCTTCTTCCCCTCTCTCCTCCTCTCCTCGCCCCCTCACCTCCCTCTCTTCCTCCCACTCTGCTTTATGTCTCAGATGTGTAACGTGAGTTCCATTAGAGACTCAGAAACTTGACCCGGAACTAGTAAAGCGATTTCCGGGTAAGGTGAAGGTGGTGTGTGTTGTGTTATTACAGGTGTGTTATTATATGTGTGTTATTGTAGGTGTGTTATTACAGGTGTGTTATTACAGGTGTGTTATTACAGGTGTGTTGTTTATAATTCCACACAATACTTTATCATAAACAATCATCACCATCTAATTAATTTCCAGCAATTTGAATAATAGTAATAATAATAATAATAATAATAACAACAATAATAATAATAATAATAACAACAACAATAATAATAATAACAACAATAATAATAATAATAATAATAATAATAATAATAATAATAATAACAACAATAATAATAATAATAATAATAATAATAACAACAATAATAGTAATAATAATAATAATAATAATAGCAATAATAATAATAATATGATCTTTTAACACCTAGCACATTAACACATCGTCACCCTCCCTCTCTGGTGACTTGGCCAATCGTTAATATAAATCAGTGTTGAATCCTATTAGTTATGGGGAAACGACCCAATTTCCATACCAAATTGTTACAATATCCACAGCTGTCTTACCCCCCACATTCCTCTCTCTTTTCCTCCTTCCCCTTTCACCCTCACCCTTTTCCTTCCCCCTACCCCTCTACTCCACCCCTATCCTTCAACTTTCCCCCATCGTATCTCCCTTACCCCATTCTCCCACCCCTTCCTCTCTACCTCCTTTCTTTCCCCACCTCCTCTTCCCCACTCCACTACCCCTCCTCACTCTTCCCCACCCCCACACACACTATAGCAACACACAGCAGCTAACAGCATCAGGAGGCTGTGTACTCAAGGTCCCTGAGGGTATTGTATTAACTAACAGCTGTGGCGTGAATGGGTGCTTCTGAGTCCAGTCCTTAATAGACCCCAGTCTCTACTAGACCCCAGCCCTGTGCCCTACAGATCCCAGTTCTAATAGACCCCAGTTCCAATAGACCCCAGTTCTAATAGACCCCAGTTCTAATAGACCCCAGTGATCTTATAGACCCCAGTTCTAATAGACCTTAGTTCTAATAGACCCCAGTTCTAATAGACCCCAGTTCCAATAGACCCCAGTTCTAATAGACCCCAGTTCTAATAGATCCCAGTTCTAATAGACCCCAGTTCTAATAGACCCCAGTTCCAATAGACCCCAGTTCTAATAGACCCCAGTCCTAATAGACCCCAGTTCTAATAGACCACAGTTGTAATAGGCTCCAGTTGTAATAGGCCCCATTTCTAATAGATCCTAGTTCTAATAGACCCCAGTTATAATAGCCCCAGTTCTAATAGGCCCCAGTTATATTAGTGTAATTTAGGCGACATCTTGGTTTAAAATCGTAGGAAACACAAAGCAACATAACTCAACATAACGCAACAGAAAGCAACATAACGCAACATAACGCAACAGAGAGTAACATAACTCAACATAACGCAACAGAAAGCAACATAACGCAACATAACGCAACAAAGAGTAATATAACTCAACAGAAAGCAACATAACGCAACAGAAAGCAACATAACACAACATAACGCAACAGAGAGTAACATAACTCAACATAACGCAACAGAAAGCAACCTAACGCAACATAACGCAACAGAAAGCAACATAACTCAACATAACGCAACAGACGTGTATAATAACTCAACATAACGCAACAGAAAACAACATAACACAACATAACGCAACAGAAGTAACATAACTCAACATAACGCAACGAACAGCAATATAACTCAACATAACGCAACAGAAAGCAACATAACGCAACATAACACCCAACAGAGAGTATATAACTCAACATAACGCAGAAAGCAACATAACGCAACGCCAACGCAGCAAAAGCAACGCGCCTGCTTGCAACAGACAGTAATATAACTCCAACATAACGCAACAGAGAGTAACATAACTCAACATAACGCAACAAAAAGCAACATAACTCAACATAACGCAACAGACAGTAATATAACTCAACATAACGCAACAGAAAGCAACATAACACAACATAACGCAACAGAGAGTAACATAACTCAACAGAAAGCAACATAACTCAACATAACGCAACAAAAAGCCACAAAAACTTAGCTCATGCGATATCAGATAGACTCAGCCTTACCAGGATCTAGTGTATGGCTCTAGAGAGGAGCAATTTAATGCCATGCTAAATGAGAGGTAGTAGGATGCAGTTTAGCTTACATAGAGTCTCAGGGGAATTTTGACGACATCTTGGCTGCCATTAGTGTGTGTGTTGTGGTATAAGAGGAAGAGGTATAATGGGTCTCAGAAGGACTAGTTAAGGGGAAGATAATGGTTAGTTTAGGGGAAGATAATGGTTAGTTTAGGGGAAGATAATGGTTAGTTAAGGGGAAGATAATGGTTAGTTAAGGGGAAGATAGTGGTTAGTTAAGGGGAAGATAATGGTTAGTTAAGGGGGAGATAATGGTTAGTTAAGGGGAAGATAATGGTTAGTTAAGGGGAAGATAATGGTTAGTTTAGGGAAGATAATGGTTAGTTAAAGGGGAAGATAATGGTTGGATTAGGGGAAGATAATGGTTAGTTAGGGGAAGATAATGGTTAGTTAAGGGAAGATAATGGTTAGTTAAGGGAAGATAATGGTTAGTTAAGGGGAAGATAATGGTTAGTTAAGGGAAGATAATGGTTTAGATCTTTATTATACAGATGATGATGTATCATTTTATTATTGAAGATACACACACACACACACACACACACACACACACACACACACACACACACACACACACACACACACACACACACACACACACACACACACACACACACACCCCCACACACACACACACACACACACACACACACACACACACACACACAACACACACACACACACACACACACACACACACACACACACACACACACACACACACACACACACACACACACACACACACACACACACACACACACACACACACACACACACACACACACACACACACACACACACACACACACACACACACACACACGATATATGTGGTTGGTTGTAAACAAAGGGTTAGCGATGTGTGTTTCCAGAGACCAAGTAGACAAATGAAATACAATAATAAACAAACAACACAATTAGATAAACAAGCAGATAATTCTCCCTTTCCCCCCCTTCCCTTTTCCACTCCCATCTCTCCCGGGAATAAGAGATGAAAGGGGGAGACAAAGGGAAAGGGGTGAGGAAGAAGAGGGAGGCATGAGGAATTGTGTGTAATTATCCTTGGTAGAGAGAGAGGGACCATTTGCTCACTTCCTTCCTCCCTCCTTCTCCTCCTTATTTCTCCTCCTCCTCCGCCTCCTCCTCCTTTTGTCGTGGGCTATGGGTCGATTTTGTTGTCGTCAATTTATGTGTCTTGAACAATATACCACACGAGTCCTGTTATTAATATATTTTTCAATAGAGACAAAAGCCTTCTTCCTCTTCTTTCCCCTACACCTCCTAATCTTCTTATCCTCCTCTTCCCATACTTTTCCTCCTCCTACACCTCCTCCTCTTCCTTCTCCTCCCACTCCTCCTCCTCACCCAATCCTCCTCTTCCTATTCCCACGGCCATTTGGTTGTGTTGTCCTGGGTAATGTGCCCCTGACAGCTTCTTATAAGAGTTGTCATTGATGGTCTAGGAATAATGATGCTTCCTGGAGTCACATTACTAAGTTAAGTTACAGAGAATTGTCAATATAATGTGCCTTATTGCATGTGTGTGTGTGTGTGTGTGTGTGTGTGTGTGCGTGGGGGGGGGTGTGTGATGGTTCGAAAGTGAGTGACATTAACACACATTTAAGTCTTGTAGTTAGTTGTATCTTTAGAAATTGTTATGCTGATGACAGAGTGGGAGAAGGTCCTGTCTGTCTGTCTGTGTATCTGTCTGTCTGTGTATCTGTCTGTCTGTCTATCTGTCTGTCATTATATCGAATGTCCGTTAAAATCCGTTAAATAAAGGCTTTACTATATCATAATCTAAAAATTTTTAAACTGATCTAATCACATGAAAACGTTATCACTCCAGTACTAAAATGACTTAAATTATTTCCATGTTATTGAATATAAACCAATATAAATTTTAAACTATTTTGATGTGTGGTTTTTTCGATGATCCAACGCCAAATGTGTTAAACTCATTGGTTATTGAACCGAAATGGAACAATAACGATAATGTTGGCTTGATTGAACGTAAGTGTGTGTGGTGGTGTGTGGTAATGTGGGAGTGTGGCAGTGTGGTAGTGTGGTAGAGAGAGAGAGAGAGAGAGAGAGAAAAAATGACTAACTCACCACTACCCCAAGAGTCACCACTAACCCCTTTATCACCACTAACCCTTTATATCACCACTACCCTAAGACCCTAAGAATCACCACGACATCATCATTACTTCACCACTAACTCACCACTCTACCCACACAGGTAATGGTGCCCTGATTGTGATCTTCGCGCGTAACAAGACACTACGCAACGTACCCAACACCTACATCATCTCCCTGGCGCTTGGTGACCTGCTGGTGCTCTTCTTCACCGTCCCCTTCGTCTCCACCATCTACACCATAGAGTCGTGGCCTTATGGCGGCTTTGAGTGCAAGTTTAGCGAGTTCGTGAGGGACATCTCGGTGGGGGTGACTGTGTTTACTCTGACGGCGCTCTCGGCTGATCGCTATATGGCTATTGTCTCTCCTGTTAAGAAGGTGAGGTCTCTGTCTCTCTTTGTCTCTCTCTGTCTCTGTCTGTCTGTCTGTCTCTGTCTCTCTCTTACTTCCTGACTGAAAGGTGAGAGCAGTGTTGATCTCTCTCTCTCTCTCTCTCTCTCTCTCTCTCTCTCTCTCTCTCAAGTTAATACTCGTGAGATAATTCTGTAAGGTCAATATTTTTTAAAGGATGAGCAATTATTTCTCTTCACTTTCTCTTTTTCTTTTTTTTTTCTTGAGAATTTATCATACTTACGAATATTCTTTGTTTTTGCATCAGTTGAAGTGAATCGCTTGTTAAGGAAATTGTTGGAAGTGTCGAGCATCTGAAGAAACTGTGTCAGTCTTTAGAAGTCTTTTGTGCCAACTGGGTGAAACTCGTGATTATTTTTCTCTTTTAATTCTAGACGATTTTGATTTTTCGCTGTTGTTTTTTTTTTGTCCTATTATTATTATTATCATTACCTGCTTGAAGACGTAGGTTAGGTTAGGTTAGGTTAGGTTAGGTTAGGTTAGGTTAGGTTAGGCAGATGGACTGACGATATATGTTTATCTCTTACACAGGCAGTGGGAGCAGCGAGAGGAGTAACAGTACGTACAGCTGTCAGCATCTGGGTGGTGGCTGTTCTGCTGGCCACACCTTCTGCAGTGTTCTCCAGCGTGCGAGTCTTCAAAGTCTCTAATGTCAAGTCCATTAGTGTGTGTTATCCCGTCCCTGAGAACTTCATCGACTGGTATATGCCGGCTAGTATCCTCACCAAGGCCCTTATCTACTATCTCCTGCCTCTGATTGTCATAGGGACATTCTATCTCCTGATGGCTCGTCACCTCTTAGCCTCTGATGTTCCCGGGGAGTCACACGTCTTCCACAAACAGATTCGTACCCGTAGGAAGGTTGCTAAAGTCGTGCTGTGTTTTGTCATGATATTTGCCGTATGTTTCCTACCCACACACGTCTTTCTCTTGTGGTTTTACTTTGATCCGGAAGGTTCCAATAATTACAATGACTTCTGGCACGCTCTTAGAATCGTCGGGTTTTGTCTCGGCTTCATCAACTCTTGCATCAATCCCATCGCTCTTTACTGCATCTCGGGAACCTTCAGGAAACAGTACAACCGCTACTTGTTCTGTTGTTGTTGGGGAAGAAGTGGACACAGGAACATCAATTCGCTCCGTTCCGTACGTTCCAGTGGCTCTAGATACAGGTGCTCAACTCTCCGCCCCTCAGAGACTATCACCCTCACTACCCTCCTTCATGAGAGGACCTGTGCCGTCTCCTCATGACACACGAACGTCAGTCCACGACACCCGAGCCTGGACGACACAATCACATGCACCAGACTCGGCTCCTCCCACACGCTGTCAGACAACACCCAAGGTATCAACAACGGCATGGCTATCTATGAGGTCGTCCAGTTTTAATAATACAAGTGACACAGGTGGTATGAAAGTCCCAGGCTGAGAGATAGTGTCCCAGGCTGAGAGATAGTGTCACAGACTGAGAGATAGTGTCCCAGGCTGAGAGATAGTGTCCCAGGCTGAGAGATAGTGTCCCAGGCTGAGAGATAGTGTCACAGACTGAGAGATAGTGTCACAGACTGAGATATAGTGTCCCAGGCTGAGAGATAGTGTCCCAGGCTGAGAGATAGTGTCCCAGGCTGAGAGATAGTGTCCCAGGCTGAGAGATAGTGTCCCAGGCTGAGAGATAGTGTCCCAGGCTGAGAGATAGTGTCCCAGGCTGAGAGATAGAGTCCCAGGCCTATGACGTGAGGTGACCGAGGGGATACAGGAGGACAATTCTCTCCGTCAGTCAAGTCAGTCAGTCAGTCTGTCAGTCAGTCAGTCAGTCAGTTAGTCAGTTCACCATACCGTTAAAAAAAAAGGTTGTACTAATGACTGACTTTACATAAGAACATTAACATAAAATATTAAATTTGATGATAGAGTAACATAGAATTATCCAACGTTTGTTTATGTTTTAGATAATCGTGTTACTGAAACCAGACGAAGATGACAGTCTAAAGTGGGTTAATAATCTGGTTAATAATTCAGTCCTCCTTTTCTGATGACCCGTTTCTAGGATTATTTATCACCTACATATGTCACCTTAATTACTCTTGATAATTATGACATATACCTGAATGTTGATGATAATTACTGGTGTTTATGTACATCTGTTGTATCATAATTATGGGTATTTGTTGTTTATTCGAGATATTTAAAGTATATGTCGTAGTAATTAAATAATGTATATATATATAACAAGATGTTTTTGTTAGTCAGAGAAAATTTGTTTAGTAAATAAATAAGTACAGCTGTTGTGTCTTTGTTTATAAGGAAAAAAAAAAGCACAGGAGCTGTTTTTGTAGACTTGTGTATTAAGGAACCAAAAAAAACAATAAAAGTGTTCACATTAAGTTTTTACTCACGGCTCGTTTATGAATGTTAAAGCACAAATATTTCCCTCACATGTTTGTTTAAATATTAATAACATATTGAAGGAGTTATCTCAGGGGGGCTTAAAGACACCCTATTGACGTCTCCTGTAAACAGATAACCCCTTAAGATGGTAACACACACCCTTTAGCCCCTTAACCCCTTAACCCTTAACCCCTTAACGATACTCCTGCTTCTGTGAATATAGTATAAACGGTTCACGTATCATAAAACATTATTCTTGGGTATAAGGAAAGGGCTTAGACGTGATATAGAGAGTTAGAATCTATATCAAGATCTCCCTTATATATCTTTGTCGTGTTTAGTGTTCACATGACTTAAATCCTTGACTTCTCCTGCACAATGTCGCCCCCCCCCCCCCGAAATCCACAAATCCAGGACCAATATTCTAAAAAAATAGTCTCAAAGTAGTTTATCCTCGTTACCTCTAGCTAGTGACTGTATACAATCCGTTTACTTCATCTTCTCCGTGTGGTTAGTTCCTCGTAAATGTGGATCCACTTCTTGGTATCGTAAGTAACAATAAGTAACAGTGAGGATACTTAGATACTTAATTACTTACAAGCACTACAGGTTACAGGTACAATGGTTCAAACTACGAAAATCCTGACCTGGTTTTGAAGTTTCTTACGATATCAACTTCATTGCCACATTAAACTGGGGTATATATTTTTTTTCTGTGTCTCAAGGCTTTTATCTCTGGCGATAAATACACCGTCCGATTAATGTGTAGTTTTATAAGACAACTGTATATGTGTGATAGGATTATATATATATATATATTTTTTTTTTTACGGGAATTAGCTCACAATCTTCCTATATTCCAATTGTTAACTTTTTATTCTTTCTGTTTTGATTAGTGTTATTTATTTTCTGATTTATTATTGAGTATTTTTTATCACCTATTTTATCCATATTTTACCTTTTTATCTCCCTATTTACATCTTAAGTCATACGCACAGTACAATATGCTTCTGAGAGAGATTTGACCCATTGTAATAATATTCTACACGTAAATAATATTACTCTACGATCTTTAACTCAAAACCAAAATAATAACAAAGCAAAAAACAGTAGAGGGATTTAACTCTCCCGTCTGTGGTATTTACCCAACGTCGTGAATTCTAAATCAAAATATAGATGACAACATTGGAAATTTTTAAGCCCTTACGGAGAGATAAAAAGATAGTTTAAATATCGTGAGTTTTTCTTTTAGTATAATTTCTGGGTCATTAAAGCCGCCAATTAACTTCGTGACGTCTGTTAAGTGAGGCAATTACATCACTTCTCATCTAATTACAAGAAAAGTATTTTATCGTGGGAATCTGTTTTTTTATATTGGCTCTTCTCGTTTCCTGATGTTTGTTTTTTTATATTGAGAGCCATGTGTGTGTGTGTGTGTGTGTGTGTGTGTGTGTGTGTGTGTGTGTGTGTGTACAGTACTGAGGTAATACTGGCACTTGTGTTTCATTCTTGTGTCTTGTGTTTCATTCATCAGGTGTTGTGTTGTCTATAAGATCCTCACTACCTATAAATGCGATTCAATTATCCAGCTTTATGTGAGTGTTGTTGTGTCCAGATATTACTCTTTAGAAAATGTTAATATTTCTTATACAACTTTTACTTGCATGTAAAGATTATATACCTTTTGGAAATAGTGTATTTGTGTAATAATAATAATATATGTATGTGTGTTTGTTTGTTTGTGTGTGTGTGTGTGTGTGTGCGTGTGTTTGTTTGTGTGTGTGTGTCTGTGTGTGTGTGTATGTTTGTGTGTGTGTATGTTTGTGTGTGTGTGTTTGTGTGTGTTTGTTTGTGTGTGTGTGTGTCTGTGTGTGTGTGTGTGTATGCTTGTGTGTGTATGTGTGTTTGTGATATATGTCCAATTCACTTCCTATGTAACCCATCACTGTAATATGTGGAACTGTAATCTATGTACTGTATGATCGTCATGTTTAGCTACTGTAAAGATGTTTGTAATGAACTCTGTATTTACCAACTCATACTGTAGTCATGAAATTGGTGGCTGTTTGTATATTTCATCATGGATTTCATGTATCGATTTACGAAGGCTATTTTGGGTGGAATTACGAACTCGAAATGTGTGAAATTTACCATAAGAATCTTCACAAACTCTATAAAACACGATTCACATACCAAACAAATCACCAAACTCAAACATAAACATGATATTAGACCACAAAATAACAAAAAAAAAATCGAAATTAATCCCCAGATGTGATTTACCAGAAGGAAAAAATCGCTTTCAAATCCCTTTATGCGAATTTGGTGATTTAAAATTACACGATCAAGTAAACACTCGAATCCTGATGAGAATTTTAGTTTCGCGGGACAAATCTATTCGGAATATATAAAGAAAATGATCCACTCTTGTATATATCAGACACTCATCCCTAGTATTTGTAGAGTAAGCGATCATCTGTAGCACCATGATTACTGCTGACTTTGAGAATATTAGAATGACTCGGAATTAAACCTACGTGTGGTATGATGCTCAGTTGTTTTCATTCGAGTAGATACGTTTTTATTTACATATTTCATCAACTACGGTTCTTTCCTCATGTTTCCTATATAACGAAATGGGGTAGGATGGGGGTACACTAAACTATCTCACGGGGTAAAACAGATACCCCCCACTAAGCTAACTCATAATGTGGAACAAATACCCTCCATCTAAACTTACTTCAGAAATATACCAGAAATATATCGTGTGACACCATGAAGAAAATGGGGAAATAGATCCCACGTATATTCAGTCCCTCCTCAGCCGTCTAGTGATAAGTGACATAGATCTGATTAAGCTCTCCTCCACACTGCCCGAACACTCCACAGATATAATCCAAGCTTGATCTGCCTAAGCTTCTCATAGAGTCTCCCGTTTCAATACCAATCTCTTGCCGCGTCTCTCAAGGGAATTAAATAAATTTCTGTAATACGTATTTTTTTCTTTGGTCTGGGGTCTTACCTGAATGATGATGATATTGATGATAATGATATTGATAAAAAAAATAGTATTAAACATATTTTCCAACATTCCTTCTGGTAATAACATCATAACAAAAACATCTCACATACATTAGAGAAAATCCCCCAGATAATATTAACAACAACGAACAAATATAACAAACAACAAATTATTTCTATTCCTTAAAAGAATAAATTAATATGATCTTTTTACCGAAAAGTTTAAGAATAAATTAAAACATTAATAAACTATAACATTATATTTATGTACAGGGAAATTTATGTACCTATATTTGTACTAATGTTTGATGTAACATTCCCTTAGTAAATGTTATAAGATTATACACATTCTACTGTGACTAATATGAATGTTTGATGTTTAGGTGTGAACATTTGTCAAGGTGTAACTGATGGTTTGTTTTGATGTGTTTGTGTTTGTAAATGTTGAAGTGTTCTTGTTGTAATAGGTTCCAGTCGTAATAGGCTTAGTCCTATTGGGTTCTAGTCTAACCTCTAGTCATAATAGGCTCCAGTCTAAGCTTCAGTTATAATAGGTTCCAGTCATAATAAGCTTGGGGCTTGTAATCCTAGGGTGCCCATTAGATTTTGGCCTATTTAGAGTTACGTAATCCCTTTTGAAGCCAGGGCCTATTAAGACTGAGGCCTATTACTACTGGGGCCTATTAACACTGGGGCCTATTAACATTGGAGCCTATTAACACTGGGGCCTATTACATTGGGGCCTATTACATTGGGGCCTATTACATTGGGGCCTATTAACACTGTTCCTCCTATCAAAATTATCAAGAACACTGACCCTTTATGTCCTCTCTAGTGGGTGGCCATTTAAATCAGGAAAATAAAGAAGGTATTCCTCCTCTTTCCTCTCCTATTTATCCTACCTATTTTCTCCCACTTATTTCCTCACCTATTCCATTAATCTGACTAATTTGGAGAGTTGTTTTCCCTCTTTTATGTATTTCTCCCCATCCCAACCCATACCACACCCTATCCCATCTATCCCTATTACATTTACCCCATCATACCCCCATCATACCCCATTATACCCCATTATCACACTTACTTCCTCATCCTATTTTCCATTTCAATTAATCTTTCCTTCTATTTTATTTCCCAGGATATAATAACAGCCAATAAATTCAATGACTTTCCTCCTCCTCCAAAAAAAAAAAAAACGTTACAGAAAATATACTTTTTTATTCTACTTTTTAATATAAAATAAGATACCCCGCTGAAAGGCTATTATAAGTAGGGTAGCTGTGTTGATAATGTATCTTAATTATTGTCTATTTCTCTCCCTGTGGTATTGTAGGTTGTATATATATATAAATTAGTATAATATATATTAGTAAGTGTGTCTTGTTGTTTCATTTATATCCCAAATGAAGGATAATTTATATATATATATATACGTTATGGATTGTTGGTATATATTTTTACATGTTTGATTCTGATTGGCCCTCTGAGTAACTTAACCTAGCTCGTGATTGGTTCCTGAATAATAGGTGAGTGGTCTCTGATTGGTGAGTGAGTGGCTTTGAGCTCCTGATTGGCTATGTTAATATCTTTCATCATTTTTAATTGGCTGATGGTACTTATACGAACGTTAGGTAGATTAGGTTAGGTTAGGTTAGGTTAGGTTAGGTTAGGTTAGGTTAGGTTAGGTTAGGTTAGGTTAGTCATAGTGATGAATCATTGGGTCAAATAAACTGGGATGCCTAATCTTCAGGTGATACTATATTTCGAGAGACAGTTTCCACGTCATAACTCCAGTCAGCCAGTCAGATAATCTCTCACATCTCCAGTTAATGAGCAGTTAAAAACCTCACAGACGGCCATTTGAGAGCACGTATCACTACCTACTGAAAATATCTGTTTAATACCAGTCTGTTAGATATCCAAGGATTAACCCAACTGGTAGGTAGGCAATCCTCCTTCCCTCTCTTACCCCTCTCCCTTTCCCCCTCCCTCTCTCTCTTTCTCCTCTCCTTTACCTTCACTGGCTTACCCTTCTCCCCTATCTTCCCCTCCCCACCCTTCTCCCCTACCTTCCCCTCCTCTACCCTTCCTCTCCCCTCTCCTCCAGGCCAATGAATGCAAATCAGAGGACTGACCACTTGTTAAAAGTCTTTATACCAATTTGGCCATGGTCGATGTTGAGGGAATTTCACTCCATTTACTGACTCGGCTATAATGATCTTACAGTCGTGGTTAGGTTTGGTTTGGTTTGGTTTGGTTAGGTTAGGTTTGGTTTGGTTAGGTTAGGTTTGGTTAGGTTTGGTTAGGTTAGGTGGTTGAGGCAACACGAACAGGTATACGGTCAAGAGTACGTCGACACACCTCATCTATCAGCAACACACACACACACACCCCTACACCACCCCCACACACACACCCCACACCCCACACACCACCCCCACACACACACCCCCACACCACCCCCACACACACACCCCCACACCCCCACACCACCCCCCACACACACACCCCTACACCCCACACCAACCCCACACACACACACCCCCACACCACCCCCACACACACACCCCCTACACCCCTACACCACCCCCACACACACACACACACCACCCCACACACACACACACACACACCCCTTCACCACCCCCACACACACCTCATCCATTATATTACGTGAATATTTAGAAGATTAGTGAATATACCTGATGAATATTTAATGTGTAAATATTTTGTTGCGAATATACAAAATCAACATGTTTTTAGAATATTCACAGGTACAGGAATATACCTCACGAATATACAGTTAATACCTGATACAATTGAGGAATATTTGAAGCTAAATAAATGTCTGTTACGAATATATGGTTAAGAATATACAATGGTGTTCATAAATAATTACCCTAAAAACAGTATGTTCTCATGTTTTAAGCTGGGTAATTATTTATGGACACTCTGTTTTTTTGTTTTCCCAGGAAGTGAAGAAAAATTTAAGACTAATGATTACTGACAGGTAATTATATACTCAGGCAGGTTAATTAGATAAAAAATATCCAGGTAAGAGTAAAAAGAAAATATCCTGCAGGTAAAATACTTCCCAAGGGTTAAAAAAATATATATAAAAACTAAGAACTTGAAAAGAAAAAATATAAAATAAAACATAATAAAAACGGAAAAGAAAAATGAATAAAGAAGAAAGAAGAAATACTGGAAAAAAATAAACAAATATCCTTAAAAAATCAGAAAAAAAAACTAGGGATTAAAACTCATATAAAAACAATTTTCTTACATCACTCAAACCACAAGTTAAAGATACGTCATCACTTCCCCTGACATTGCACCAATTACATTCAAACACGTCATCACTTCCCCTGACATCACACCAATTACGTTCAAATACGTCATCACTTTCCCTGACATCACACCAATTACATTCAAATACGTCATCACTTTCCCTGACATCACACCAATTACATTCAAATACGTCATCACTTCCCCTGACATTGCACCAATTACGTTCAAATACGTCATCACTTTAGGAAATAAATTATTAGTAGACCAATTAAAATACTCCTCTTCAACAGGCCTTGTGGCGCAACGGATAACGCGTCTGACTACGGATCAGAAGATTCCAGGTTCGAATCCTGGCAAGGTCGTCCATTACTGTTTTTACTTGAAGAATGAGTTTATCCTGAGTAACACAATTACAGAATTAAAACTACAGTACTGTATTTTACTACATTAACC